CTTTTTTCAAAATCATGCACACCTTTATCCGAAATAATATACCTTTAAAATACTGACAATAGACTAGAGGTGTGCATCGGATCGGATTGGACGTTTATAATCCGACAATTGCCTAATGTTTAAAATCCGATCCGAAATTGTCTAATCCGAATCCGATCCGAGTTTTGAAAAAGAATTCCAATCCGATCCGATGAATTCTTTAATAAAATAAATTTCTTATTCAAGTTGAAATATTTAACCAAATAAATATAAAAGCAAGAAATACATGTCAAGAAGCTGACAAAGTGACGTCCAATTGAAGTATCAAACGAATAATGCAGCGAAAACCGCGATGATACTTTGATAAATGTATGCATAATTATTCTTGCGATAATGCATGGATAATTAATTCATTTCAATTTCGGATATCGAAGTTCGATCCAACTACGAAACAACTTTATCAATCCGATCCGAAATTTACATTTTGGTTCCGAAATCCGAACGAATCCGATCGGATTCGGATCGGATTTGCACACCTCTACAATAGACAAGCCTGGACAAAAATTTCACCACAGCTTGAAAGAGCATCACAAAATTAGTAATATTCCGAAGTTGCGTTGAATGTTGTAAAATGCGGATAATATAGCCTTGCGAAGTTTGCCGTTTTTCAGTCATTTTGCATTATAAACGTAAATTTGATAATCAGATGATCAAACTGATTATCAATTTCCCATTTGTAATACAATGACTGAAAAACGGCAAACTTCGCAAGGCTATATTATCCGCATTTCGCAACGACCTTGCCTGTTGTGGATGCATACTCAGAGTAACGTCACAAATATCACACTAAAACTCCGTTTTCTGACCATCAGAATTCTGTCAAAACTTCCCCAAAGTCCAGGAAATGGCATTTCAAAGAATCTAAATTTAAAAATTTGCTCGGGCCTTTGGCCCTCGTTCCCAGCCCCCAATAAAAAAGAGCTTCCTACGGCCATGAAATATTCGGAAATTTTCTTCGTTATTCGGAAATTTTTGGCATACACCCCCCCCCCCCAACTATACATGTTAGCTACGGCCCTGGATTGGCTTTCATAAACAAAAATGATCATTGTTCATTACTCGTTCTTTAGAAAGACGATTTCTATAGTTTTATTGTCTTTCATCGTTATAATCAACCAACCACGAGCCTGGATAGTAAAGGTAAACGATGACCCAAATATTATTTTTGATAATTCTGGCAAAATGGAAAAAGTTGGGTAAATTTCTTTCTATACGCCCTAATTTTTCCCCTCCTGTATACGCCTATGAACATTCCATACATGCATGTATTTATACATGACATACATGTACGCCTATGAACATTCGATACATGTCGTCCGTTCAAAACCACGCTTCTCCACGACTCTCTAAGGGCATGCTGAGTCATCAGAACTATTTCAAGAACTGTGGATGACTTATGAACTAAAATTTCAAAGGATGACCATGTACTGGCGATTGGAAATTTTATTGACATTATACCCGTTTTCAATTAATGTTTGTTAATATATTCACGCCCTTCCATCTATAGCAATTATCATTGATTGTTGGCATTTATAATAAATAGCCACTTGTTTTTTCTGCTATTTTGTGTTTAATACAACATTTTTAGAAAAATTTCCAATTACAGTGAAAATCATTGATATTAGTGCACTTAAAGAAATATTAGAATGTTAAGTACTTTATTTGTGAGAGTATTACATTGGTAGAAATACTCCATTAGCCGGACGTTCGTATACTTTATATGTTATAAGAATGTCAGTATCAGTTTTCTGCATCTTCAAATATCAGCTATCGATTATTAGTAAGCCATAAAGGTGGCTAGTGGAATTTATTGAGTCGTTGCACTTATTTTATACATCGTAAATCTCGACTGTGCACATGCAAGGATTAGGGTCCAATTACGTCTTTCTGACTAAATTAGACTTATTATAAGGTTTAGAGTTTCGAAGGACAACTTTTTTTGAATTTGCTGTAGCCTATATATAAATATATACTTCCCGAATTAATTTGCTGTGGCCATGGGCAACTCGTTAACTATTTCAACAATTACGCAAGTTATTGACTGATCAGTTTAACATATATTAAAGTTATTTTAAAAGTTCTTTCAAAAGTAAGGCAAACTAAGATTTTATTGTCATTGATATTGCAGAGGTGTTGCATGCGGCATGATTTGTGTGCACCACTTTAAAAAGTGTGCATGGTTAATTTAAAAGAATAAACACCTAGTATATAAATCACATGCAAATGATGTTGCACAGATTTGCATGGTAATGGCACAGTAAATTATATGAGGAGATTCCATATTAGAATTCAGTAAAGTGAGTAAACCTCGTATTGCATACATTGGCTAAATAAAGACGACTAAAATTAAAGCATTCTTTGTATAATGATAGTTTGGAACACATTTTGGTTCTTTGTCATGTACTATTAAATAATATGTTCTTTATTCGTAAAGCCTATAGGCATACCTCACATGCAGCCAGAAAACTGTCGTGAGAACATCCTGAAATGAGAGGTGTGGCAACTATTTATGAATTCTGCAGCTGAGTTCTAGAAATCCGAAGGAGTCCAAAAATGTCTGTACTGTACTTATGCGGTTTTATGAACCTTTGATGTGAGCCGGCTTTTAGCCATTTAGGATGTCAAACATTTCCAAAAATATCATGTATGTGCCCCATAATTTCCTGAGTCAAAAAACATGGCGGTTGAAATCAATACACTCTTTGGATAATTACGTAAGAGTGCATGGAAACTAGGATCCCGCCAGTCCCGTGCCAACTCGTAATTCCAAATTATTTGGTATTGGTGCTTTGCTTATTCATCAATTCATAGACAGACGATGACTCATAACTTTTTAAATTTAATTGTAAAATTATATATTTTAGGTATGTATATATAATAATGTATTTTCTAATATTTTATTTGATGTATATAGTTGGTGTGCCTTTTTAAATACTCGACGCATCTTCTCTCCTCCGCAGAGGATCCGTGCATTTTAAATAGATATAGATTTATATCAGTTAAACTTAAGAATCTCGCAGCCTAAGCCTTGCACGTCGGCTGAATAATGTTAAATTGTACAAGTAGTTAAAAGTTAGATGGACTAGCCGTATTAAAACATAGTTCGATTCAATTACGTATTTACATGAATTACAATTAATAAAATCATTCTTAAGTATGAGGAATTAAGATTAGGAATTTGAAACATTCTTCTTTCTCGCGCAGGCATATTTCTGAAGAGTTCACTGGAGGCAACAAGTCATGTAGTTTGTTCTCAGGATTGTTGGACTATATTTTAAAATTGAGTTTGTTAGTTAAGTTCTGTCTTCTTACAGCCAAGGTAGCGAGACCCATGCAATTGATCCAGGGCTTCATTATACCGATGATCTGGTAATGTTATTCTACAAGCAAGCTTTTGAAATTCAAGGTCGTTGGGTAGATATTTCGGGAGAGAGTCGTGGAAAACTTCGCACGCGCGTGTTCAACGATCGACTGGCCGGATGCAAGTAATATAGAATAAAAGGAGATCTTTTGATGGAACTTTGGCCCGTTTCAGTTGTCTTAGAAAGTTATAAACGGGTTGAGACCTTTTTACATATAATTATTATTAACATGTGAAATTCATTTAAGATCATTTGTGCATGATGGTAAGGGCCGGCTTAGTAAGGCCCAGTAACTTTTGCCTGGGAGACAACCTCAATTTCTTTGTCATTGATAATCGGAAATTCGAAATCGGTCTTCGAAAAACAGATACGGAGTTCCTTATACACTTAGATTATTTTAACTGCTTTCCGTTGATTAATTGTGAACTTAAGACGAATTCGTTGACATAATCTTGCATGTTTGTCATTTACTTCCGACAGGGTAGAATCATCTACATATTTACAAAGATTTACATCACCCATAACGTCGACTCGTCGAGGTCGTTTATCATGACCAAAAACAACCAGGGACTAAGTTTGGTCCCTTGCGGAACAGCGGCAGGTATACCGTTTTTGTCTACGATCTGTAATGTTAAGTCTCATATCCAAAATATAGTAGTCTTGATATCGTATTTTGCAAGATTTGTTGGGCAGGATATTGTGGTCGATCATATTGAAAGCTTTCCGAAAGTCAAAGAGCATTATTCGGTTTGGTTTATTTTGATCATATACTATAACATGTTAATTTGCGCAATGTAAATATTAATTATTATTTTCAGTATTTGTGGAGCCGTTGGCATCGACTGTGCTTTCCTCGTCCCAGCAGTTCACAACTTTTGATGTATTTAAGAAATATCACACAGTTTGTAAGTTGCTATTTATAAAGAAAAACTATTAGTATTAACTGCCTATATAAAAACTGTCCGCCTAGCTAATGCATGCGGCTATTTGAACACTTATATAGTCACTTTTATATGACACCTTATTAAATTCTGGTCATTAATTTGTCTATTATGATCAACTGTGATATTGAATAAAAATTCTTGTTGGGAGTGCCTACCAGCTGTGCATTTTTGTATTATATTACACGGTTTGGTTTTCATTACATACCATCCGTCAATATTTTAATCGTATCCCAGTCGTAGCTCAGGTTGGCCGATGGAATTAACTCAAATGCAAAATTGTGGGAAGCAAATGGCGGGTGTAAATATACTTTTTACGACAATGTTGTGTTAAATGAATGCCTTGCATTTTTACATCAACTCTTTACTCAAACATTTTTTAAGAATGGTACGCATTTGTTCTGTATTTAATGCAATAAAAATCGATAGCATTGATTTATTTTGGTGTTATATAAAACAAAGAATGTTTTCATTCGTGCAATAGTATTTTTACCATTGCACTCATAAAAATTCATTATTTTTATAATATATAGTTTCTTCAGCTATGATATCATGCGATAGCTCCAAGTTGCAAATGTCTATTCATCTTAGATTTAAATGTGATGTCGCTAGTAACAAATACTATAGTATCAAAGATGAGTGAAGTATGTTGCATCACTTAACCATCCGTATTTATTTTGAACCAACCTGTAAAAACAAATATCATCGTATCAATGAAAGTACATCAAAAATCCTGGTATGATATGATACGATTCTTTCCCCAAAGCTTTTCTGTGATGATACCAGAAATGAGTTATATATTTGTAGCATCACAGAAAGGCTTAGAAAAATAGACTAAGATAGTTTGGACACACCTGCCAAAGACATGTCCAAAGTGGTAATTGGTAAACGACGAGAGGAAGGTCAAGAAGAAAATAGAAATATAACATTAAGTAGTAGTAAGCGTAGTTGCAGGAACGAAATTTAGCAAACACATCATGTGCAAAGGACAAAGGTTTATCACGGCTTGCCCATATGAAAAAAACTCACCTGAGTGAGATTCGCATAAATTAACGTATGTAAATTTCAACAGCAAGTTCATATGAATGAGAAACGAGCCAGGTGGGATCTCAGTCAAGTGGGATAAATGTTTCATATGGAGGCTTTTTCCCACCTTGTTGAAAGTTTGTAGATGGAAATTTCGAGTGTAAATTTTATACATTTATTAGGAGGATTCGGTGGCGCAATCGTCAGAGCGCGCGCCTTTATCACCTCTGATATCGTGGGTTCGATTCCCATTGTGGACATTGATATCCATGTGAAAAGAGTCAGTCAACGCTCTGCCGAAAGTCGTGAGTTTTCTCCAGGTACTCTGGTTTCTTCCCACGGGAATATTGACAGGGTTAGTTGGGATTAGCTCCTAAGCTGGGATTAGCCCTAAACTAACCCTTCCATCGTAGCTGTGCATGCTCCGTGATCAGACATGAGTAATAACTCATAAGGTGGCTGCCAGAGGCGCCTCTAGAAAGCCTTCCACTCGATCACGTTGAGCTCATGTGTCTTTCGCAATTCAACTTAGCTCTCAGCTGCAAGTAAGGATAATAAAAGCCCCCCCCCCCCCCACCTAACCAGTAGCAGTTGCGATTCCCAAAATTCACTGCATGCGATTCCCAAAATTTCCTGCGATGCCCCAATTGCTGATATTTACCATAGACTCTACATTTGCATCATCTCAGTGTGTATGCTGTATATATGGTATGGTATGTTAATTGTGATATAGTTTTAGTAGTAAGGTAATTAATGCTGTACATGGTGCTGGTGTGGTATGGTTGCTGTACCTTTTCTACAGCTCCTGAAGTGTTTGGTAAACCATTTCGTCACGGAATTCCAGAATGTTGGAGCACCAAACGTATACAATAAAGGATTGATTGCAGAGTTGATAGGGATAACGCAGATTGAGAACCATGCATACAAGTTTTCATTATCTGAATGTGATCGCAGAGATAAAAACAGGAGTAATGCAACAGGAACCCAGCAACATACGTCTGAAAAAAAACACATAAAAACATGAATTAAATTAAACGCAGATAAGATAAGATAAGATTTAATTATGCCTCTCTGGGCAACTCATGCATCTAAGAAAATTACAGAAATACAAATCTTACAGTAATATATATTACAATTATTAAAAATTAGAAACAAGAAATATGTCTTCGCATAGCAACCTCTGGATGCAATTTAAGATAAGTAACATGGTCATTCTTATCCGGAATTCTGTTAAAGATTTCTTGCGATAAATACCAATATCCGTGACGAGAATCCGGGTTATAACTTTTTAGATCATCAAGTCCTGCCTTAAAGGCGTTTACACTAGGTGCATACTTAACAGAGTTTGGTAAATTGTTCCAATACTTAATTACTCTTACGCTAAAACAATCTAACGCAAATCTGGTCCTACAGGATGATACATTGCATAAATTACGAGTACTATAATGCAAATTATGGTTAAACATTTGATGGCCATAGTTAACATGTCCGTTAATAATCTTGTATGCTTCAATAAGATCACCCCGCATTTTGCAGAGTTGATGAGGCAGATTGAGAACCATGATCACAAATGTCATCATTTGATTTTGATCCAGAGATAAAAACCGGGAAAAAAAGCATTAGGAAAAAATGTCTGGGCGAAACAATAAGTTCTTCTATAAATGCAGTAACGAAATTAACTTAATGATTGTATGTGTACAACTTAATTTGTATATGGTCGTGTGAGAAAATTGGTAAAACAGCCGTATTATATGGTAAACAAATTTCCCTGCAAATGGATTAAGAAAATAAGTATATTTTCCAATTTGTATATATTTTTGTGTTTTTTTTTTTTCATTTTATAAACAATATTTTAATTGATATAAGAACCAAAAGCTCATCCAGAGATCTGGGTCAATTCAGGGGCGTATAGGAAGGGCACTTTTGGAAGAAAAATTTTCTCGTCATACTATACCGAAATTGCACGTTTTTGACCAAGCTGTTTTTGAAAACATCGAAATTTCCAAACAAAAAGGGCACCTTTGATGTTAATTTAGTATTTATAGCAACGTACATTAGCTTGTACAAAAAGGGCACTTTTCATCACAAGAAGAGCACTTTTGGTCTTTTGAAAAAATTGGGGAGGGGGACACGCGTCCCCAGTGCCCCCGGTTCCTACGCCCCCTGTGGGTCATTCAAAAAGCCAATCTGGCGCTCCGCGCACGTTTAATTAAAGGAATGCCTGGGCCCTGAGGAATACCACTGCGGTCTGCGTACCGAAGTGCGGTTTCACCAACAATGTATTTGGTCCATACCTGTAAGAACAATAACTGCAAATCTCTTGGCCATAGTTCGATGATCGTCTGTGACATTTGTAGATTCTTGTGCTGTTTTGTAGAAAGAATAAAATATGCGTATATACAGAAAGATAAGACATAACGCTGCAATGAGATTTATCACACCAAATATCGCAATGCAATACTGCCAAGCTGTTGAATGTGTCCCGAGCTGTAATGGCATGCAGATGCCATCACTTCCGTAAAAACTTTCCATACCATTCTCGTAGAAATATGCCACTTCTTTTAGTGTGGGTAATATTGCGAGAACACTTGATGCTAGCCATGTAATGACAAGCAACGATACAGCTGTACGATAACTCAACTTTTTGTATTCCAAACCATGAACTACATAGAGGAACCGGTCGTAAGCTATGAAGACCAATGTGAAAACGGAAACCTCGCTAGATATCACTGAAATAGCACCCAAACTCTTACATACAGGACCTCTTCGCCACTCCCAATCGTGTTTATAATATTCATTGCGTGTGATCATCTCCTTATACATTATACCAATTAGATACACTCCCATTAGCAAGTCGCTGATGCACAGACTACAGATAAGTAAATTCTGAACTCTTTTCGAATCTGTTAAAAGCAATCTTATCAACAATGAAAATATATTTCCACCAAATATTAGAACTATTAGAATGCACATGAGGTAGCGTAATTCATCGTGTCTGATTAACGACCCGCAGCTAGAGAATATATCATCCGGACCGTCGCACTTGCACTTTGGATGAAACGAATGAAGGTAACAGCAGTCGAAATAATGGGAAGTTTTACTAAAATAAAAGAGAAAAATAAACTAAAGTAGAAACCAAATGTTTCGAGATATGTTTTTCCAAGGACACATAACAGAGTAACGGAGTGGAAAAGAATATAGTTATTGTTGAGCTATACTATAATAATAACGACAGATAGAATTAAAAAATGTAATTATCCAAAATTATAGATTTAAATAAAATTCAAGATAATACTTACAAAAGGGATATCGTTCCCGCTAGATGTTTGAAAACAGAACTGGGTCGAATTTCCATGTTTCCTGTATAATTTCTATTGTTTAAGCAAAACAAAAAACGAAATGTTAAAAGAAGAAAAAAAAAGTAAGACAGTTGATTCCGATTTCACCTTTTACTATTAATTCTTTCATAAAAATACATAGTCATTCAATTTTAAAATCATGAATGTTCGCTTTGTATCCATGGTTATCGAAATAAATGTAAATGCCCCAGCCGCGCTATTGACAGTTCTATATATGAACTTGCTACGGCAAAGAATGAACTATATATCGTTGTGGGGTAGTTATATTCCTAAAATATAATATTGTGATTGGCAACTCTCTCACATTAGTTGACTTTGTAACTTTGCATGGCGAAAAATACTTGATTCATCGATCCACATTTATCACGGGGAGTTTTTATTTCTCAAAGCCTTTCGATCCGTAACTGGTAAGCCCGTACAGTCTGAGTATATTTGATAAATTTCTACAAAATTATGTTAATTTGAAAATAAAGAAATAAAACTAAAAGTAACTTAACTAAAGAAAGAAAATTCAGGCTAAATGCATTTGAGTGAAGGCGTTCGCTCCAATTCAAATTGACTGCATCCGAGTGGAGAGTTTTGGAATCTGGCTTCCAGTTTCAATAAAATATATCTAATAAAATATATCCAGGACGCATGAAGTACTTACAGCTCTTCCAAGTTTGTCATATGTTTAAAAGCACCTTTTCGAATTGTATGTATTCGGTTGTTACTCAAATCTCTACAGTTTTCAACATAAAAAATACAAGATACAAAAATGATGAAATCACAATATAATTATTAATTGACGCTAACGCTTCCTAATAATAAATAATCCCCTTTTTTGCTTGATGATGATATTTCTGCCGGATCGCTTGTAGCTCTACGATCTGGCCTTCATTTTCAATCAAATCCTGAATTATTCAGCAAAATGTAAAACTTACAGTGTTATCAGATTGTGCAATCCAGAAAAAGAGTTTTCCAAAATAGTTTTAATCTTGACTTTTGATAAATTTCTACAAAATTGTGTTAATTTTAAAATATTGTTACAAATTTAAAGTTACAAATTTAAAGAAAGAAAATTCAGGCTAAATGCATTTGAGTGAAGGTGTTCGTTCCAATTCAAATTGACTGCATCCGAGTGGAGAGCTTTGGAATCTGGCTTCCAGTTTCAATAAAATATATCCAATAAAATATATCCAGGACGCATGAAGTACTTACAGTTCTTCCAAGTTTGTCAGATGTTTAAAAGCATCTTTTGGAAATGTACATATTTGGTTGTAACTCAAATCTCTACAATTTTCAACATAAAAATGCAAGATATGCGGTAATATTTCGATTTTTTTTTCAAAATCAAACAACAAAGAAAATTATTAATATAATTATTAATTGGTGCTAACACTTCCTGGTAACAAGGGCAAATAATGTTAGCCAATCAGCGCGTTTGTTTACATTTTGCGTTCTTGACCAATAAAAATGCCTGAAATTCGAAACATGTAAACAAAAGGAGTGAGAAAATAACACCTTGTTCTACGCCCTCGTTGACATTCGATATTAAACTTTTTTCGCCAAAACTGACAAATTCTGCTAAAGCATGCTTTCTTCTTTAATTTCCTCGGGGGGATTTTTAAAATTCGATCTAGAACGCGAAATATTTATGTTTGAATAACAGTGTTTTGACGCGCGTAAAATAGCAGACTCTCACTTGCACTATCTTTACACACACATAAAAAATTGGTAGATTTGGCAGTTTAAACTTATTTTCCCCACACCA